AGGGATGACCCCCAGGGTCCTCTGAAGACTGGTTCTCAGTGAGCATTCAGGAATACCAAGGGGGGGGGGGCACAAACCCCCTGGAAACTCTATGTGAATGTGTGTTGAGGTGGAAGGAGTCTTAGGACAAAGTATTCACTTATTCATTTATCCAACAAATTTTTATTGAAAGTCTACTCTGTTCTAGATGCAGTTACACTATTAAATATAAGATGTGGGTGGGGTAAGGCCCCCCTGAGCTTACAGTCTGGCTGGGAGACAAATATTAACCAATTATAGTATCGGTCTGTGATTCTCGAAAGGAAAAGCAAGCTTCCTCCTGCTGGGGGACCAGGGTTAACAAAGTAACAGGTGGGTAAAGTCCCGCCATTTGGAGACTTTGCCAGCTCTTAAGCCTGCGCCCCCCGCCCCCCGCCTTTCTGAGAACTCTGTGGCAGCTCTGAATGCTTCCTTCTCCCCTCTGCTGGCCTGAGGGAGGCTCCCAGCCAGCCCCCACAATCCTTTGCTACAAAGACATCATTAGACCACAGGTCTTGGTCTACGTAACTTTTATACTGGGTTTGCAAAGTGTCTTCCCATCCTTTAGTTGATTAGAGCTTTACTTTGCGGCAACCCAGAAGTTAGAGGAATCGTGACCCCCACAGGACCCACGGACGATCTGAGGCTCCAGGAGACTCTGTAATTTGCTCCCAGCCACACAGCTGGAAGTGCAGGACCCGAGGTTGCCTGGGTCCCACTCCAGATCCTACGCTGGCTCGTTACATAAAGGGCCTCCACAGTCATCCCTGAAGTGGGCTGATCAGGGCAGGTAGCGGACGCCTTGAGCATTGTCTGGCCACGGGAAGCCAGCGGGCCCAGTCAGGGGACCCTCAGACTGTGCAGCCAGCTTGAGACTCAAGCTACGTTCTGGCCTTGGCCCTAGGGCCACCACCAGTGGGCTGTGACACCTTGGGCAGCTTCCTTCAGCTCCCCCAGACTCAGTTTCCACTTCTGTAAAACGGCCAGGAGGGGGCGCTTGCAAAGTATGGAGGCACGGACATGGGAGTAGACTCACGGATCAACGAGGGACCTGTTCTCTGGGGCACCTGCAAAGTGGTGCCAGGGTAACCCTGGTCAGGGGTCACTACCACCCCACCCCTGCGACAGAGTGAGATGCAGGGGACCGACCATGATACCACCTCTCTGCAGGACCTACTTCCCATTTTCCCGCCCTGGGCTGAACAAGCTGGCAGCTGTGGTTTCCAAATGGTGAGGGGGTGAGAATGCTGGGTGGCGTGTCCCTATGGAGACCTCCCACTGCCCTGCCTGGTCCCCTCTCATCATGGCCTCCACCTCCCTCTCCCTACCAGGTTAATCATGAGGAAGAGTCTGATCCAGCACCTGGAACAGCGAGGAGTGCAGGTGAGGCTGGAAGGCCACCCCCTCAGCAAGTGGGTGGTTTGCATCCCAGTCACAGTTCTGCCACCAACTAACCGGTCACCTGGAAGTCTTAGTCTCTTGATCTGTGAAGTGGGGGTAATGGTGTATTTAACTAGTACCTCCTAATGGTTTGGTAAGTGCGAGCCATTATCATCATGATGATGGTGGTGGTGTATTGAACCTACTGTCCGATTCTTGATGAGAGGGGGAGCGGGGCTGGGGAAGGACCTGAGAAGGGCAAAACCAGCTTGGCCTGCTCCCCGCCCCTCCCCTGGGCAGCCACTTTGACCAGGTCACTGAATTAGCAGACCTTTGTTGAGAATGCACTATGTTGCAGGCCCTCCCCTCCCAGGGAGCTTACCATCAAATCAGGGGCAGAGGAAGGAAGTGAGGCAGACAATTGCAGGGCACCGAGTGGACAGAAAGGAAACAGCGCTGTGGTCAGTAGGGTCAAAGGAGGCCTTCCGAAAGAAGTGAGGAGCTGGCTCACAGGGAGAGGAGAGGGAGAGCATCTCCAGCAAGAAGCTGGGCATGTGGGAGGGCTGGGAGAAACCAGAGGCCAGGGCCATCGGAGGCACCGAGAGGGGTTCCAGCAGGCCGCAGTGTGAAGGCTGGGGAAGGCAGCGAAGGGTGTGGCAGGTGGCCTGGGAGCATCAACAAGGAGCCCGGACTTCAGCCTCAAGGAAGGGATGCTTCTGAGGGCCTGAAACAGGGGAGAGGCCTGATCCAGTTGGGTGACCCCATTAAGGGTCACTCTGGCCACCATGTGGCAAAGCAGAGCCTCAGGAGGCAGGTGCTGTCACTGCCAGGTGTCGGGTGTAGGTGGCAAGCAGGGGGACAGGTGGGGAGTTGGCAGACAGGCCGGGACTCCACCGCCCACGGGAGGGTGATTAGCACCCCCTCCCCCGTGACTCCGAAGTTTGCCCCATCATTCCCATTTGTCACGTTAAGAAACCGAGCAGTCCGGTGACTTGCCCAGGGTACAGATACCATCTGTTCCCACCTCCGTGCCCACAAGAGCAGACTCGGGCGACAGGGAAGACGCCAAGCAGCAACTGATTGGGGCAGGCTGGGAGATGCTGGCATGCTGGTGGATGTGCCACAGCCAGCTTTGCAGCAGAGAGAAAGAGGGGGCTTGGGTTTGAGCAATAGATGACTTCCCTAGAGCAAGGTGCACGTGCTCTCACCTTGCCCAGTTTCTGGCATCCAGCGTGAAATCACTGAGCAGAGTTTGGGTGGTATTTCCACCTGACATGCTCAACAGACGCGAGTAACCTCCAGAGGTTATTACCATTACCAGTACGTAATGGTAACGTGCAGTAAAATAATTAGGAAGGGAAGAGTTTGGAGTATTTATTACCTTCGTTTTTAAGATCATTATTGAATTACAAGTTTATAGAATTTAGTATTTCATAATGGCTGTGTTTAATAACCAGCTTGCAAAATTCCTGGCGGTCTCACAATCCACCCCAGCGTCCCAGTGCCGGGAGCTCCCCACAGAGGAGGAGAGCTCCCCCACCATCAGATGCAAGGGGAAGTTCCAGGTAAACTGTGTCAAACTGTGAGCCCCTCCGTCCCACCCAGGTGATCTTTTGGTGCCTTAATGAAGAGTCCGATTTTGAAGCAGCCTATGGCCTGGGGGCCACCGGCGTCATCACCGATTACCCCACAGCCCTGAGGCGCTACCTGGACAACCACAGAGGAGCTGCCCAGACCTCGGAGGCCCTCACCCTCTCCTCTGTGTCTCTTCCCCAATAAATGTCGTCTTCAGAGTCACGTCTTGGTGTTTGGGGGGCACAGGTGGGAGGAGATCCTAGCCCACTGCAAGATGGCAACTGAGGGCCAAAGAGGCCAGCCGAGGGCCAGAATTTGGGGCCTGACCCATCAGCCTGACCCACTGGTTCCACTGCATTCCAGACCCAGAGTAATGCCACCACACCCTGTGCCAATCTGGCCTCCACTCTCCTCAGGAATGTCCCTTGCAGGAAGGAGCAAGGCCTCCTGTCCCTTCAGAGCCATGGGTTCCATTCTCCTGAGGCCATGAAGAACCCCAGGCACACAGCAAGGGACTTCATCTGGGCCTGCAGACCTCACCAGGCTGCGGAAGGTAGACATGGCCTCAGAGGCTGAGTCCTCGGTGCCTGGCTCCTGCCTCATCCAGTCCAGCCTTCCACTCCTGGGTCTAAGCCAAGAGCAACCCCAACCTCCTCAGCCCTCTCCAGCCTTAGTACCTTATTCACTGACCAAATCGCATCTCACAACCATTTGTTGACTGTTCTAGGCCAGGCAGCATCCTGGGGCCATGGCAGGGAGTAAGAGGAGTCTAGTAGGGTAGATGCCTGGTAAACTAACCGAGCCTGCAGAGGCAAGGACAACAAAGAAGGCTTCCTCGAAGGGAGGATGCTCGACAGTAGGAACTGGCTTGCTCCGAGGCTCTGGCTCCCAGAGGCCTAGCGAATATGGGCACCGTTAGCTCTTCTGTTCTGAGAGCCTTTCCCCAGTGCCTTTTGCTAGGGCGAAGACCGTGGAATCCGACCAAAGTGAATCCCAACTTTGCCCCTTCCCAGCTGGATACCTCGGGAGAGCTGCTGGACCTCTTTGACCTCCGCTCCCCCGGAAAATGGGAACAATAGCGAAAGCTGCCTCATAGGATCGCTGCGGGGATTAAGAGAGTGGGGCACGGGCGGTGGTTAAACGCGGATAATTACGGCTATTATTTCCCCGGGGGCGCGCGTCCGGACACCATTCCCCTCCTAACCCCGCGCCGGGTCTCGCACCGCAGAGCCGGGCCGCTTCGAAGACCGCAGGAGGCCGGACGCGCCACCGGACCCAGGCCGCCGGGCCGACCTGCTGGGTTGCGGGGCCGCAGCCGCATTTCCGGGTGGGCCGGAGCAGGGAGCAGGGGGAAGGGCAGGCCCTGCCTGCGCTGGCCGCTGTGTGACGCGCCCCCTCATTTGCATGCGGCGCGCCGATTGGCCACGGCGACCGCCGGGACCAGCGGCCGGCCCCCTCCCCCTCCCGCCGCAGCGGCGGCAGCAGCTGGTCTCGGTGTAAACAAGTCGCGGCGGCTGCGAACCCGGGCCGGGGGGGACGGCGCCCACCAGGAGCGCCCCCCACTCCCAGGCCAGGCAACCCCGGCGGACCGAGCCCCCGCGCGCCCAGGCGAGGTGAGGCCCGCATCATCAGGGCTGCGCGTCGCCCCGCGCCCCCGCCCCGCCAGTGAGGACTGCCCCCTTCCCCCGGCGTCCGTCCCCCACCCCAGCGCCCCAGGTGAGCCCCGGGGTCTCAGGTGAGGCTTCGCGATGCAGGTAAGAGCTCCTCGGCACAGACAAGGCCTCAGCGCCCCCCCGCCCAGGTAAGAGCCCCTCCCCTCCTAGGTGACACTCTCCACCTTCAGTGAGGGCCTCTGCCTTCTCCAGGTGAGGGACCCTCTTCCCAGGTGAACTCCCTGTACCTCGAGTGGAGCCGTGTCACCCCTACCCTACCCCCGCCCTTGGCAGTTCAGGTGAGGTCCTAAGGACCATCCAGTTCCTAACCCCTCCATACTTTACCCCTAAACCAGCACTCTGAAGCCCCTTCCTCCAGCTTCAGCTGTCAGGTCAGCAGGGGTGAGGCCGGAAGTAGATGGGTGACTCACCTCAGGCTCCTCCAAGCCTCAGTTTCCCCATGATGCAACTTGAGGCCTCCTCAGTGAGTCAAGACTGAGCCCGCTCTGGCCCCCGGAGAAGCTGCTGGCTCTGGGGAGAGGAGACAGCAGCCAAGTGTGACAGAGCATCCCCATGGCCCTGGGTGTGCCTGCAAGTGCATGGCCCAGGTCCTGACAGCCCACTCACTCCCTCCCTGGCAGGCACTGGGCTCCCTCTGCTCCCCGTGGGCTGCTCCCCGCGTGGGGCCACTGCCCCCGGCCCCCGCCATGGTGCGGATTTCAAAGCCCAAGACGTTTCAGGCCTACTTGGATGATTGTCACCGGAGGTATAGCTGTGCCCACTGCCGCGCTCACCTGGCCAACCACGACGACCTCATCTCCAAGGTAACCAGGTCACCATTGGGGCTAGAATGAGAGACTAGAAGGGCTACCTGGCAGCTCTCCACCAATGGCCCTGACTCCCTTCCTCTCTCCTTCCCACCCTTTAGTCTTTCCAGGGCAGTCAGGGGCGTGCCTACCTCTTCAACTCTGTGTGAGTATTTGGTTCCCCTTCTTTCTTTCCGTGACCTCTGTTGGGACCTGTGACCCCCAGCATCACACTAAGACTCCCAGAGTCCCCTGATTCCAGTTGGAAGATGCTATCGCCCTTCTCTTGGATGCTAAGGACAGACACAGTTGGATACAAGCTAGAGGGGGGCTTTGTGATGGCGGGACCCTCCCTGGGACTCCCCCATGTCCCCGCAGGGTGAACGTGGGCTGCGGGCCAGCCGAGGAGCGGGTGCTGCTGACAGGCCTCCATGCCGTCGCTGACATCCACTGCGAGAACTGCAAGACGACTTTGGGCTGGAAATATGTGAGTCTATGACCTCTGACCCCAGGCTCCCCTTGACCCAACCTCCCATCACCTCCTCTTCACAAGCAGTCACACAGTAATCTTTCAGAACCCACAGGTCCAGCTCCCACAAGTCAGGCTGTCTTTTCATCCCCTGACCGTGCTCTGTTCCGTCACATCCTGCAAGGGCTTTTAGAATTTTTCTCTCCATCCATCCCTCTCCTCACAGACACACGCATGCCCATTTTACAGATGAGGCCATCATCCGAGTGACCATTTATTGAGGGCTTATGGACCATGCACTGTTGTGTGTGCCTGGCACACTTTCTCTCATTCCATCATTACAACAATCCTGTAGGTAGGGTCTATTGTTAACTCCACTTTACAGAAGCAAAGGAGGCCCAGAGATGTTAAGTAACTTTCTCAAGGTCACACATCTGTAAGGAACAGCATAGGGACCAGAATCCTGGTGGTGTGTTTGTTTTTAACTCCACATCCTTGATGGCCAGCTTCCACTGCCATTCAGAGGTTCAGGGAAGTTGCCCAGGACCCCACAGCAACATGGAGCTTGGGTCCATGAGCCTCCTTTTCACTACCCTCATTGCCACAGCTGCTGTCCAGGGTCTAATTTCACTACCCTGTGTTTCATGTCCTTATCTGGCAGTGGAGGAAAAGGCCACAACCTGGCACCCAAAATTGTTATGGGGATCAGATTAGATGCAGCAAAAGAAGACAGTCTTGGGAAATGGCGAGGGCCAGGACTCCTCAGGCACTACTCGGAGCTGCGGGCCCTCTGTGGGGTGGATGTCCCAGGTGGAGGCAGTTCACCTAACCTGCGTTCACCCTTGGCCTAGCCTCAGATTTGCTCTGTGCCCCCAGACGTGCCCCCAGACGGATGGCTCGACCTCTCTGGACCGCTGACAGATAAAGAGATGGCCCAATCCAGGGGTCAAAAATTCAAGGGCTTGCATGTCTAAGCAAGTATGCAGGCTTGCATACTTTGGGTTTGCAAAAGGGGCAACATAGCTCTGGAGAGGGACGGGGCAGTCCATGGCAAAGTGGAGTGAACCCGGCCCACCTGTATTTTAGTATTTCAAAGTCATTTTTTCTAAACTCTGCTGGCCAAACAAAACACATGCATACGTCAAAACTGGCCTTTAGCTACCAGTCTGTAATCCCTGGACCTTTTAAAAACTTCCATAGTCTCTCTGTTGGAACCGACATTAGTTCTTAAAAACTAGCAGTAATTCAGAAAGTTTAGTCTGTCCCATTAGTGAGAGACTGGCTCTGTCAGTTACTAGCTCTGTGTCTTGTGGCCAGGTGGTTTGGCTTCTCTGCATGACAGTTTCATCATATGTAAAATGGGGCCAGTCATACCTGCTCCTCAACCCTGATCCCTTTTGGTAAAGCCCTTGCTCCAGAGATGACGTCCTCTCCCCTCTTTCCAGGAACAGGCCTTCGAGAGCAGCCAGAAGTATAAAGAGGGGAAGTACATCATTGAACTCAACCACATGATCAAAGACAACGGCTGGGACTGACCCCTGCTCCTGCCGCATGTGGCTCGAGCCCGGCCTGGCCGCCAGGGGGCGCCACTGGCTTCCCTCCACGAGAAGGGAGCTCTGGACCCTCAGGGCCCCTGCAGAGGAAGGATCCAGCTCCTGTACATATATTTTATTGCATGCACTGTGACCTTGGGGGGCGATCAGAAGGTGGAAGACACCCCCGCACCTCCCTGCGATCTGGCTGGCTTGGATCTCGTTTTTAACCCCTTCGTGCCCCGCCTGCCCTATAGATATGGCCTATGTGCTGCTCCCCCGGCCCCAGTGCACCGTCTGCCCTGTGAACTCCTCCCACCGGGCCCCTCTTACCCCACTCCTGTCTGCTCCCCTCGTTCTGTAGCGTTTGTACATAATAAAACAATGGAGTGGAGACAGCCCCAGGCTCACGTGGAATCCTGGAACAGGGGACTCAAATGCAGATTCCTGCCTCTATAGACCTGTTCTTTTCTGGGCCCCACATGGCATGGGGTAGGCACTGCGGTCAAAGCCGTGAGTCTGCGCTCCGGGGGCTCAGCCATCTGAGACCCAGGACCGATCCTACAGCCCCGGAGCTTCCCGACCCCACTAGACCTACTGAGGCCTTGACCTCGGCTGATCTGCGCCTCCTCAGCTTTAGCGTTTTGCCGCCGCCTAGAGGCAAGCTCTCCTGGGAGGCGGCCGCGCCACCAGTTTCACCGCCCCTCTCGTCGCGACTACACATTCCAGCGGCCCCAGCGGCATCTGTCCGTCTCCTCTCTTCCGAATCTCGGCGCTGGGCCTGCTGGGAAGTGTAGTTCCGAGGGTTCCCCAGAGCGGGACCTTCTGGGAAATCCCGGCTCCAGCCGTCAGAGACTGTCGAGCTGTGCGTGCGTCTGCACTTCGGAGTTTCTGCGGAGGGTGGAGGTTTTGCGGAACGGGAAACAGGAAGGAAGGACTCCAGGGGTTCGGGCCTCGGCTGCGGACTCCTCGAGGTCCCCAGTGCCCCGCGTAACAACAAGCTCATGCCGAGTTCCTCCAGCCCTGCTCTTTTCCTCCAGTCATGCTTCATCCCTCCGAGCCCTGGTTTCCAAGTGGAGGGGGCAGGGAGTACCTGCTAGAAAAGTCTGGGGCGCCAAGGTCTGCCCCAGGACTCTAGGCTCCATCCCAGGGTCGAGGCCCCGCCCCTCAGTAGCTTATCCCTAGCCGGGGCTCCCCCCGTGGGAACGGGGACCAGCTGGCCGGAAGCGCCAAACTGCGTCCCTGTCGAGCCCCGGGGATCAATCAGGCCGAGGAGTTAATTATGTAATGAGGGGGCAGGGGGTCGGAGCTAATGAAGCCTGGAGTGGGGGGAGAGAAGGGGAGGTTACCCAGGTATCCGGCCCCCTCTTGGACCCCTTCCAGGCCCCAGGGGTCTCCACCCCAGCCCAACTCCAGGGCCCCAAATAGGGGAGGGGCTGTGATCCTGGGCCTGGAAGGGGCTGAGCTGTGAGCTATAAAGGGGGCATCTCTCAGCACCGGGGGACTGACTCTGGGCAGCGTGACCTGAGGCCAGAGGGGAGTACTCCATGTACCATCCACGAGAGTTGTACCCCTCTCTGGGGACAGGCTACCGCCTTGGGCCCCCCCAGCCGGGGACAGATTCCAGCTTCCCGCCTGCCCTGCCAGAGGGCTACCGCTACCCTGGTGAGCATGGGGACCAGCTCCTGTGTCGGGACTGCTGGGGGCTGTGGCCCTCTGCTGGCTCCTCATTCTGCCCCCACCCCTTCTCCAGATCTGGACACTCCCAAGTTGGATTGCTTCCTCTCCGGGATTGAGGCTGCTCCCTGCACCCTGGGCGCTGCCCCACCCCTGCCCCCGCTGCCCCCAGCCCTGGGCACTGAGCCAGCCCCCCCAGCCCCTGAGGCCCTTCATTCACTCCCCGGAGTCAGCCTGAGCCTGGAGAACCGGGAGCTGTGGAAAGAGTTCAATTCTGTGGGAACAGAGATGATCATCACCAAAGCTGGGAGGTGAGGGGCTGGGCCAGGGTCAAGGGGCCCAGTGTGTGCCTGGTGGGGGGGTCTCCTGGGAAAAGCAGAGTTCCTGGTAATGGGGCTAGGTCTAGGGGTTGCTAGAGGGTCTAGAGCTCTGCCTAAGTTCAGGGTGTGAGTGTGGCCTGGGTCAAGGGTTACTCTAGGGCTGGATCGGGGTCATTTGGTGGCAAGGGTCGAGGGTCAGTCTGTGGAATCTGTAGCTGGTTTAGGGACCAACCTATATAGCAGGGGTCCTAGGTCGGTCTGGGCCTGGATCAGAAAGTCTGGCTGGGTGATAGATTCATTTGTGGCCCAAATCGGGGGTCAGCCTGCGGCCAGAGCCAGCATTGACACTACCACTAGGGTCAAGGGCCAGCCAGTGACTGGCATTCAGGGAAGTCTGGCCAGAATCAGGGTCAGTATATGACTAGGTCTGGGGTCACCCTGGAGGCAGGGATGTGGCCAGTGTGTGGCCCGTGTCTTTCCAGGCTGGGAACTCGGGCTTGAGCATGCTAAGTCCTCCGTCCCAATGCGGGCAGGACATTTTTTTTTTTTTCCTGAACCAGGTTTGGCCAGCAGTGTAGACTCTGGTACTGGAGATTAGGTGAGGAGACCAGAGTGGGGAGCAGCAGACTCCCGGCAAGATTATAGGGACAGAAGTGTGTCACCACTGCTTCTGTGGATGGAGTTGGAAGGGGCCAGGAATCAGGGGTCCTGGCTCTGGTCCTAATCTGCCCCGTGACCCTGGTCAGATCTCCTGTCTGTTCTGTTTCCCGAGTGTAAAATGGGAAGAGACAAGCCTCCAGCTCCAAGACCCTGCCGTCTGAATTCTAATTCCACCTCTGTGGACGTTTCTCTGCCAAAGCTGGGTGAGCCCACGGCGGCTGTGTCCCCTGCCGGCGCTGTGACCCCTCCCAGTCCCAGCCGGTAGCACCAGGCCTCTCCCATCCCCTCCTCTGTCCAGGCGCATGTTTCCTGCTTGCCGAGTCTCAGTCACTGGCCTGGACCCCGAGGCCCGCTACCTGTTTCTTCTGGATGTGGTTCCAGTGGACGGGGCTCGCTACCGCTGGCAGGGCCGGCGCTGGGAGCCCAGCGGCAAGGCGGAGCCCCGCCTGCCTGACCGCGTCTATATTCACCCCGACTCTCCTGCCACGGGTGCCCACTGGATGCGGCAGCCTGTGTCTTTCCATCGTGTCAAGCTCACCAACAGCACCCTGGACCCCCACGGCCATGTGAGGCCCCAGCTGGCGGGGAGGACAAGTTGAGGGGTGGGTGTGGGGGCCCCCCTGGGCGGGCAGGGAGTCACCTCGGTCCTTCTCTCCCAGCTGATCTTGCACTCCATGCACAAGTACCAGCCCCGCATCCACCTGGTGCGGGCCGCCCAGCTCTGCAGCCAGCACTGGGGGGGCGTGGCCTCCTTCCGCTTCCCCGAGACGGCATTCATCTCTGTGACAGCCTACCAGAACCCGCGGGTGAGTGACCCCGCTTCGGGGAGTGTGTGTGGGGGTGGGGAGGGGATGGAAGGGTGGGCTCTGCCCTGGGCCATGGGAGCTTTGACCCTGGATGTGTGTCCCCAGATCACACAACTGAAGATCGCCGCCAATCCCTTTGCCAAGGGCTTCCGGGAGAACGGCAGAAACTGTAAGAGGTGGGCACTGTTCATTCATTCCCTCGTTCGTTCAACAAATGCTTGTGAGCTGACCACCGTGTGCCAGGGACACAGCAGTAAGTAAAGACATTTATTTCCTCGCGGCTTCCCATTTAGCACCTGCTGTGTGCCAGGCACAGTTCTAGATGCTGGAGACCCATCCGTGAACAAAACCAAGGGCCCTGCCCTGATGGGACTGGTCCTCTAGGGGACAGAGTAGGCAGGTCAACAGAGAGAAATAAGTAAAATATAATATGTCAGGGATGGGTTCTAAAGAGAAAAGAAATAAAGGCAGGAAGGAAGATAGGAAGGACCGGAGTGAGGTCTGTATTACTTTGAGAGTCCTGGTCAAGTCCTGGAGGACCTAGAGTGGGTATTCGAGGAAGAGCAGGCCAAGAAGCGGGAACAGCCTGTGCGAGGGCCCTGAGGGAGGAGTGTGCCTGCAGTGCGACTGGAGAGGAAGAGGCCAGAGAGGTGAAGGGGAGCCACGTTACGTTGGATAGTGAAGGTTTATTTAGGACTCGCCTTCTATTCTGAGTAGAGTTCAGCTCCCTCAGAGCCGTCCTTTGCCCTCAAGGTGGGTACAGACAGGGAGCCATCCATCAAAGGGTCACCCTTACAAATGTAAACCGTGGACAGATGTCATGAGGGAGGTTGTGCCATGCCATGGGAGGTCGGGAGGACTTCCCTGAGGAAGTGAGACAAGAACGGGAGCTGAGACAAGGATGAGCTAAGAAGGTGAGCAGGGGCAGACAGAAGAGGACTCCAGCTAAGGGTGGCTCGGCAAGCCGGGCGGGATGAGCTGGGTTCAGACCATGCCCTCGCCTTCTAGCTTGGGAAGCCTTTTCCCAAATGCAATACACACAGCAGGAAACCATTGGAAAGTTTTAAGGGGGAAATCGAGCCCAACTCTGCCACTTTCTAGTCACTTAGATCTCTGGCCTTCGGTTCCTTCGTCTGTAAAATGGGTACAATAATGGCACCTGCCCGACAGCGTCCCTGGGAGGGTGAAATGCTTGGCACCTGGCAGGTGCTATTATTACCATCATCATCATTATCATCATCATCGTCGTCGTTGTCGTCACTGTTCTCCAGGGAGCGAGATGCCCGTGTGAAGAGGAAACTGCGGGGCCCAGAGCCTGGAGTGGCAGAGGCCTATGGGAGCGGAGGTGAGCGCAGTCTCCGTAGTGACGGGGGCCGGTCCTCAGGTGCCAGTCCTCCTTAGCTCAGTCTATCCTCTCCATCTGCCCAGATGCACCAGGCGGTCCCTGCGACTCCACGCTGGGTGGGGACGTCCGTGAGTCAGATCCAGAGCAGGCCCCGGCCCCCCGCGAAGCTGCCCTGGCCCCAGCTCCTCTGTGCGGAGGCTCCAGCGCCGAAGCCTACCTGCTGCACCCCGCGGCTTTTCACGGGGCCCCCAGTCACCTTCCAACCAGGCAAGTGGGACAAGGGCACAGAGCTCGGCTCCTTCAGGTTGGGGGTCCCTTTCCCCTGACATGTCTCTTTACTTCAGGAACCCCAGCTTCCCTGAGGCTCCAGACTCGGGGCGTCCAGCGCCCTACTCAGCTGCGTTCCTGGAGCTGCAGCCTGGGCCAGGGGTCTCAGGGTACCCAGCCGCTGCTCCCCCAGCACCCTTTGCCTCACACTTCCTCCAGGGGGGCCCCTTCCCCATTGCCTACCCCGGCCCTGGGGCTTACCTGGATGTGGGCTCCAAACCAATGTACTGAGGTCTCCCTGGGCCCTCTGCCTCCCCCCACCCTACCCCATCTTCCATCACAGACCTCTGCCGCCCTTCCCCCAGGCCTGTGGCCCCATCCCTTCCACTGGCCCCATCCCCCACGCCAAATGGCTGCCTGGGGCCTCCCCCACCCCACTTCACACTTTGATTTCACTCCCACCCACCCTGGCTTCAAAGCTCTGGCTAAGCTGCTGGGAGTCCAGCTGGGGCCAGCTTCCCCTTCCAGACTCTCACCTCGGTGTGAATGGAGGGAGGCTCTGCCTGGCCAAATGGGGCCACTGCCCAACACTCCCACCTCCTGGGCCTCACCCTTGGGCTCTGCAAGTTCTACCCCCTCGCCCCAGTGCAAGCCACACCAGTCCACTGTCAGGACCAGAGTATTTTTGTTAATAAAACTCCAAAGACCTCAGTGCTCTACAAACATCAGCTAATGCTATTTAGCCCTGGGCAGGGCTGGGTGAGAGAAGGTTTTGTGGGGAGACCTGGGCCCTGATTTTGACTTGCCAGTTTCCAGCTGCTTGACCTCATGCATGTGAATCAACAGCTCTGGGGCTATTTCCTTTTCAGGGAAGTGGGGAAATCAGAATGTCCTGATGCTCACTTGTTTTGAGAATTAAATAAGGCTGCTTCTGAGAACCCAGACCTCCACCTAGCATGTGGCAAGCCTTCTGGAAACAGTCACTGTCACTAGATATAGACCAGGAGGCTCCGGGGCAGTCAAGGTCCTCTGTGCCCCCCAGGTCCCAGGCTGGCGTTGCTGCTTGTGACCGATCAAGTCTGACACAAACCCAAAGACCATTTTTCTCCTTTTATTAGAATTTTTCTTTGTTTTCTCTCAAAATTTTTTATCTAAAAACAAAAAAAAAAAAAAAAAAGGAAAAAAGAAAACCAGAAAATTATTGGAAACTCCATGGTTCAAGTGGGGAGAAAGGAGAGGAGCATGGAGCTGAGGCTCCGAGCCTCTCCAGAGACAAGTCCTCACCCTCGAAGTGCCCTCTCCGGGGGGAGAGCAGAGCCGAGACAGCCCCCCAATGCCCAGCCTCCGTCTGGAGAAGAGGGCAGAGTCACAGTGGTCCGAGGGCCAGGGGGCTGGAGGGATCACAGGAAGTAATCGGCCACGGGCTTCTTGGAAGGGATGCCCCGGGTCTCCTGGGGAGCAGCCTCGAAGATGATGAAATCTTTCTGGAGATGTTCATCCAGCTCCAGGATGGCTGCCACATTCCCACATCTGGAAGCAGGAGGGCTGTGGCATCAGCAGCGTGGCTCAGCCTGGCTCCCCACCCCCACCCTGACCGCCTGGCCCGGGGCGGCTCACCGGTAGCAATAGTTGGGCGCCGACCACACAGTGAGCACAGTCTCATTGAAGTGCCACTTGTAACCTTCCATCACCAGTTGGTGGGCACGGCAGATCATGTCAATGTCGTTGGCCGCATTGAACTGCGCTACCACGTCACTGCCGAACAGGTAGCCAGCCCCGCGGGGGCTCACGCCCCAGCCTGTTGTGTCTGAGGCAAAGGAAGGAAGGGATGGGGGAAGAGGGTGTCCTCAAGGCTTCTCCAGTACCCACCACCCTTCAACAGAGAACATCCCATCCCCTTCTCCCAATCAGGCCCGTAGGGCTGGAGCCCAGGGCCTGAGTGTGTTCTGGCAGATCCTGGGGACAGGGCAGCAAGTGCTGGAGCAGATAAGATCCAAAGGAGACAGAATGTTCGGATAGTTGGAGCTACCCCATAGTCAGAGTGACCGTGTGATTTACTGGCCACAACAGGTGTACCCGAAAGTAAAAGGAAGTGCTGATAATGACCATGCAGGTCCAGCCGATGTGAAGAGGGCTTTCCTGCCCCCACCCTCCCCCCGCCCTGGGAGGGCTGGCTGGGCACGCGGGCAGGGCAGTGAGGGAGCGGAAGCTGTGTGACCACAGAAGGAGTTCTGGACTGGGATTTGGGAGACTCGGCTTTCAGTCTCAGCTCTGCTCCAGATGGGCCGGGGAACCCCACAAAATGAGGGCTCCTCATGGGGCCAGTGTTCCGGGAATCCAGCCTCTGCAGAAGCCCCTCCACACTGAGGGCGCAGATGATTTTGTCCCAAACAAGCCTCTGAGCGATGAAGACACACGCCCAACCCCTCTCCGAGCTCGAGCTCAGCCCACACTCCCCGTCCGCACCAAGGGTGCTGGTGAAGACCCAGACCTGCTCCGCTCTTCCCCACCGCCTGGCCCGACTGTCCGTCCCACACTGTCACCTTTAACTGTCCCTTTAACCACAGGACCTCCTCAGTCTCCTGCAAAACTGAAGGGAGAGCCCGCCTGCCGGCCCACCCGCCCTCACCTTCGGGGTCAGACCAGAGCAGGTCACACATGGGCCCATCATGGGGCACCTCTTGCTTCCGGTCAATTGTCCGGATCTGGTCCAGGGTCTGGATAGAGGGGGACAGGCCCCCGTGCACGCAGAAGATCTACAGGGAAACAAGAACGGAGCAGAGGCGAGCTGAGCCCCATGCCTCTCCCTGTGACTCTCCTAGCCGTCCCATCCCCGCAGGGCCTAGTGGCCGGCCTACCTTGCCATCGATGATGGCCGACAGGCTGAGGTAGTCAAAGATCTCAGTGCAGTAGCGCCACACGGTTACTGAGCCGTATTTGCGTAGACACTCGTCATAGAAGCCATAGACCTGCGTGATCTGGCGGCTCTCATGGTTGCCCCGGATCAGGGTAATCCGGTCAGGATAGCGAACCTGTGGGCAGCCACCCACACGGGGCTGGGGGCTGGGCTCGATCCCTCCCTTGTCAGCTCATGCACCCCTCTCAGAGCTTTCCACATGTGTCACCCACACACCGCCACCACCCCCAGTCCTCCTCACCCCTGCCACCACCCGGAATCCCGCTGCACCCACCTCGCAGGCCCATGTCCCTCCTCCGGGGGATCGGAGGCTTACCCCACTCCATCAACCACATACTCACTGGCTCCTCTATCACCAACAGGTCCCTACCCAGACCCCCCGGTGCCCTGTCATCTCCCCCACCAATGGACACCGTACCTAGGCGAACTCCATGCCCTGCCACTGCCTGAACACAGGGGTCCTCTCTTCCCTCCCCTCCAATGCGCAGCTCCCGCTTCTCCCCCAGGGGCCCCATCACACGCCCTCGAGGCAAGGAAAGTGGATTGGCCCACCCCCTGGCAAGCCGCACCCCAGCAGCACAGCTCAGAGCTGGGGGCAGATGGGTCAGGAGACCAGGGCAGAAAGGAGACAGGTCAGGCCCGAGGGCCCAGCTGTGAGCACCCGAAGCCTGGGTTCCCACCTTAAGTGCCAGCAGCAGGAGGAACGTTTCGACGCTGTAGAAACCGCGATCCACAAAGTCCCCCATGAAGAGGTAGTTGGTCTCAGGGACGTCGCCACCCACCTGGGGGGCGGTGGAGAGGCAGGAAGATTCTGATTGGTCCCAAAATGCCCCACACCATGGTGGCCTCTTTGCCAATCAAGCGGCAGCCCCATTCCGACGGCCCACCTAACTAGAGCCCCTCACCTGCCTGCCATGCGCCAAACTCAAAGCTTCCACTCTCAATGAGGGGGGCCTCCCAGTCAGCCCCCAGGTCATTTGTCCCCAGGTCGCCCCACACTTACTCTGAACAGCTCCTTGAGGTCATAGAATTGCCCGTGGATGTCGCCACACACCTGGGAGGTGAAGAGAGGCGGGTCGGAACTCAAGAGTCTGAAAGCTCTGCTCCCAGAGACCAGCCTTTAAAACACCCGCAGCTTCAGGAGCTCCTCACCACTCCTGGCCAAGTCTCGACTTCTCAGGGCCAAAAATCTACTCTCCTACCCTGACTTCGCCTGGTCTGGAATCACACCCCATCCCACATGGAGTGCGAACTGCTCTGGGAGGGGAAGAGCTAGAGCCAGGTCTTTCTAGCCAGACCCACAGCTTCTGGAAGACCTGGCCCCCTCCTCTCCCTCTTCCCCTCAAAGAACCCAGAAGAAAGCTACTAGTAACAGAGAACACACGTGAACGTGTGCCGCAGAATCACTCCCATGTTAAGAGGCCTTCTGCTCAGGCCAAGCACATCCCCCCAACAAATCAAAAGAGCCTTCCCATAACATCCATTTCGAACAGCAAGGCTCCCTTGAAGACAGGAGAGGGAGTAGACACACAGCCTTCGGGGCTCTCAGGGATGAGGGTAGACCTCAGCGGCCGCCAAGATTAAGGGGAATGCCCACGCACCTGAAAGCCCACGCTGGGCTCTGAAAGGACAGACGGTACTCACTGTGACCGGCGAGTCCACTCTCTGCACGTTGCTCTCCTCTACCAAGATCTCTCTGGAGACAGGAGAAGACCAGGGTCACCACAGCCAGGCCAGCCCAACCCGATTCCTCATCTCTTTGAGAGGAGGCTAGGAGGTAGTCCTTGAACCAGGATGGGCTGACCGCGCTTCCCCAAGGCCAGAGCCCAGACTCTTACTGCATCCAAAGCCCTTCCAAGAAGGCAGTGGCCTTCCGAGCTTTGACCCTTCTGGCTGCCCTCTTTCACACATCCAGGGCTCATTCCAGAAAACAGACCTCCTCTGCGCACAGAGCCCTCTGCTCATGCCGCTCTCTCGGCCTGGAACACTCTGAGACCGTGTCCCCCGCTGAGCTGACAGTCCCTCTCTGCCCATCACAGAGGCCTCGCCCAGGCCGTCCGAAGGCACCCAGTCATCAGACACAGCGTCAAAGACCTGCGCTGTGCTTTTTCCTTATTTAGAGGGGGAGTGACAACTTTGTTCTTTCATTTCTCCCTGAAGTGGAGTCTATTACTACTTCGGTCAGTAACAGCCAGTGGAAGAGGCGCCATGCTTCCAGGTTTCCACTGTGATGACAGCAGCAGTGACCACTCCAGATCATGCCCTGCCCTGGGACCGTAGTGAGAGCTTTGCGTCGATGACACGATGGAAGAGCCCACCCCAAAGGCAGACACTGTGGCGCCGCCCACTGCTCAGATGAGTAAACTGGCCATAGTCCAACAGGGCGGACTTGAACCAGGAGGCCTGGCTCTGGCGTCTGGCGCTGTTATCAAACTGATCTGGTGTGGGAGGGCCCGGGGCACTTGCCTACCTTTCCCTGCCAGCCTCCTAGCAGACTAGGAGACCCCCGAGCTCAGGTGGTTTTACCTATGTCCCTGAGCGCATGCTCTCTGACAAAGGCAGCTGGAGGGAAGTGTGCTTGCTTGGCTTTCTGGGAACGGGAAGAAGCCTTGGCCAGGGTCTGAGGGCCCATCGGGCAACCAGGCCCTCCCACCAGGACTGGCTCTTGTGTCCAGCATCTTTCCACATCAACTGCTTGTGACGACCTTCCCAGCTGACCAGCTGAGGTTCTTTTCGTCCTCATCTGACAGAGAAACCGAAGCTTGGAGAAAAAAAGGGCAGGATCAAGGTCACAGAGCTGGAGAGTGAAAGAAGTAGAACTCAGAAGCCTAATTGACTAAGAATCTGTGCCAGTCTCATCCACAGATTCTGGGTCTAATGCCCCCCACCGACCCGGTGCTGGCAGGGCCCAGCATGCTCTGGGAACAGGGGCCAGTCTCTGACCCCAGCTCTGTCACTCACAGCGCATCATCTTCTCTCTCAGGGCTCACACCTGCCCACCTTTACTTCCGCAACAAATGCCACCTTTAGGAAGTGCCTGCCGAAGTCCCAGTCCCTATCCCTGCATACGCAGAATCCCATTTGAGCTCCATAATGACATCAAAGTTTTGAAGAGGTAAAGTGACTTGACCAGGGTCACATTGTTTACAAGTGACAAAGCTGGAATTCATACTGGAGACCACTTGATTCAAACCCTCCACTCTGGGGTGCTCGTGTGGCTCAGTCCATTAAGCATCTGCTTCAGCTCAGGTCATTATCTCAGGGTCCTGGGATCGAGCCCCACGTCAGGCTCCCTGCTCAGTGGGGAGTCTGCTTCTCCCTCTCCCTCTCCCCCTACTCGTGGTCTCTCTCCCTCTGTTTCACTCTTTCAAATAAATAAGATCTTAAAAAAAAAAAAAAAAACCCTCTGCTCTCTTACTACGCTAATCCGTACAGAGAACGTGGCAACTAGCTCTCTAGATGCGAGCACTAGCTACCATCACCACCAAGTCAATTCAGGCCCTCAGGCAAGGTGAGTCTTACAGGAAAAAGAAGGATGCCAAGCAACAACTGGTTCCTAAAAATGCCTCTCAAGACTGAGGGAACAGGGATGACTAAAAACACCTCGGGGCTGGTCCAGTCAGGGAAATTTTCTTGAGCTGGCAAAACAGAGAGTCACAGACATGCATTTAAAATGAGGCCTTGCCTGTTCGTCAAACAGGCCTGGTCTGGCCGCTGTGGGTCTGTCTGAGGTAAAGCTAAGCAAGGGGCTAAGAGCCACCAGTTCAGAAGTCAGGCGGCCACTTTCTCTCTGGGTGACCTCAGTCAAGTCACGAGGCCTCTAGGAGTCATGTAAAGGAGCAAATAGTTCCAACCTCAAAAAGACTGCTGTGAGGAAGACAGAAGTTGCGTGTCAGCGTGAGGCCTGTTGTATAACAGCGGCCTGTTGTTCAACAAATGGAGGGTCATTCTGCTGGCCCTTTCCCCATCATCCCCAGTGTGATACAAGCCACAAAGAGTACCTCAGGGGAGGCGGGTCAGTGGTCTTCTCACTGGTGCCCACACATCTCAGAGCCTCCACTCCACCTGCTCTTAGAGGCCTTCCCTGGTGACATCAGGCCTTATGGGCAGTACCCTCATCCCATGCGGTACTAACACCAACACCTGAAGACTGCTGAGCGCTTACGTTGTACCAACGCGCAGTCCCGAGCTCATCCCAAGCACCAGCTTACTGGTACTTCACCAACGTCTTCTTAAATACTATTATTCCCTCTTAACAAATGAAGAAACTGTGCAGAGACCTCACGATCACTGACAGAGCCAGTAAGCGGCGGCACTCACATTCCAACCTAGAACCATCGCATTCCGAAGCCTGAGCTCTTAACCACCACGTCATCCTTCTTCCCAGGGGTCTCCCGCCACGTCAGGTTTAATTCTACTCTGGCTTATTTGCTACCATTTCACACAGAACACGAGGTGACCCATGACCCAACTCCACAGTCTGGCATTAAGGCCTGAAAAGAGACAGGACGTGGAGCGCTGGCTTCAGACTCCATCCCTTACTAGCTGGTTGACTCTGAACATGAGTCCTCACCTGCAAAATGGGGACAGTACCACCCGCCTTTAGGTTCTTAGAGTTAAAAGAATTTTATAAACCAGAGTCTTTAGCTTTTCTGCCTTGAACTTTTATCCTTGTGGACATTCCCTTTTATCATCTTACTCTTCAACACCTATCCCCAAAGTTCAGTTCCTCCAAGAAACCTCTGTTCCCCCTGAGAAGTAGGGCTGTCTCCCTAAGCTTCTTAAATATTTTATAAAAACTCTCTAACGCCACTGAAAACACATCACCTAATACTTTAAGTGTTTTTCTCCAGGTCTGTCTTCTCCCAGCAGGCTGGTTGCTCCTCGAGGGAAGTGGCCCTATTCTGCTCCTCTCTGGGAAAGATTACAGGATGAGCGAGGCCCCAAGTTCTCAGCTGGGTCTGCCCCAGGCCGGAACCCCTGAAGAGTGGGGCCACCGGGCTCACCTGGCCTTAGCGCACAGGGCCTTGACTTCGCTCTCTTTGATGAGCTCGCAGCGCCGCAGCTGTTCGATCTGCCGGTCCAGGTCGCTGATCTCCGCCATGGCCCACCCCCCCGGCGCGGGTCAGAGCCGGGGCCGCCGCCCCCTCCGCACCGCACAGGGGTCTCCTGAGAAAGGCGAAGACGAGCCCGTTATCAGACTGTCCGTAGGGGGCGCCGGGGGTGTAGGGAATGAGGCAACTCGACCCTGGAGCTGGCCCGATCCCCCCACCCCCGCCTCCTCTCACATCGGCCCCCGATCCCCAGAAGTCCCACAGTCCTGGCCGCTCCCCGCTAACTCCCGGCGGTCCCGCGTTCGGGGCGGTGGCCTACAGGGGTCTCAGACTATTACCGCCGCCGCGACTCCGGCTCCCGCTCCCGGGCTCCCTGCCTTCCTCCTTCCCTTCGCTTTGGGCCACCGCCACCGCCGCTTCTACTTCCGGCCCCGCCGCGGAAGCAAAGGGGCATCTGTTCCGCCGCGCGCCGGATGTGGCGTCATACACACCCTCCCCCTCCCGCGCCGCGCCCCTAACCCCACCTCCCGAGCCTAAGAACGGAAATGAGCGAAGGAACCCGATGTCGGCGGCCTGCGGGCGGGCGTGACCTCGGGCGGAGCGGGCAGGTGCTGCTCCGGCAGGTGGACACCTCAGTCCGCTCCCTTCCGGTGTCAGTGAGGAAAGCAAGCAGAGCTGCGGCTCCGCGTGTAACTTCGTTGCACGTTTTATCTGACTCGGCCTCCCCCGTTACAATCCCCGAGGGTCGGTCACACTTGCAGCCCCAGTGCTTAGACCACGGCCGAGCACAGCACGCATAAGCTCAGTGTAAGTTCAATGGATAGAGGAATCCCGCCCAAATCTCCTTCCACGGCCGCGGAGAAATCCCTGCCATGGAGGACCTCTTAGTGAGAGGCAGAAAGGCAACCTTGCTTACACCTAGCTTACGTCTCAGTCAACGTGACCCGATTCCAGAATAGTCCAGACATCCATCCCTCCGTAGCTTCCTCGTGTCTGCAAGCTGTAGTCCATTTTAAGGACTCCGTTCTAGTTTCTCCTCCATCTATCACTTACACGTTCTGGAATTCACTGTTACTACAAAAGGTCCCAAACCCCCAAACCGACATTTTGAAGGAAACGGCTTGTCTGTTAAGCATACTTCGTGGTGTTGGAGCCTTTGCACAGGCAGCTCTCTTTAGAAAAGTCCTTTTTGCTATCTTCTGTTGACCTTCAATTTTTGCTTTTCTTGACTTTCAGAGTGCTTAAGAGAAGCCAGGCACAGAAGTGAGGCCGAATTTTAGAAAAGTTAAGAGTGGGTTTGGTTTTCTATGTAGGCAACAAGCAGATGTGCATTGAAGGAAAAGGACAGAGTCCCTGAACTCCTACAAGGTCCTAGTCAGTTCTACAAGCATCAGCACAGAGGTTCTGCTAGGTCCAGAGAGACCACAAAAGTCAAGATTTTTTTTTTTTTTCTCTAGAGGGAAGCTGACACAGTAAAAGGCACGTTATCAAGAAACTCAGGAAATGGCAAGACTCACTCATGAGGTCCCTGGTTATGACCAGGATCTAATCTAACAGCTCAGACCCATGTAGGTACCTGCTCCACCCCAGCGGGAAGGGTTCAGGGCATGGCATGGGTCAAGTGCGGGGCCTTCACTCTGCCTTCATGTAATACAGCAGCTACATTGGCTCAGGGCTTAACCTGGAACCTGAACCCCACAGTTCTGTGTTGCTGAGGTCACTGTTGGAAAGGGATTCTGGGTTTCTCAAGGGCTTCCCCGCCCCAAAGAAGATTAAGCCAGTTCTAATCTCATTTCCTGTTAAGATGGGAAAACAGACCAGCTCGACAGTGTAGGTGAAGGACGTATGTATTAATAATCTTGTCTTCATCAAGAAAGTGCCATCTCAAGCAGTATGGCCTTAAGAATGAACAACTACTCAGAGAGATCACTTGTGTGGCCTGGCTCACAGCGCTCGGGAAATGTTGGCTTTGGTCAGTGACTGTCTTTCTCACAGGAGCCTTTCTGCATCTGTAAATTCTTGGTCTGAAAGCACAGCTGAGCCTAACAGTTCACACGTAGTCCCCAGCTGTGAGCCTTAGTGGGTGCTGCTGGCAAAAGGGGCAAAAGCCCTTGATGGCGGAGAAAATTCCACAAGGTCTCTTCTTGAAGCCCTGGGCTGGAGTAAAACAAAGCAGGAAGGCCCTCTCCCAAACCCATTCAATTTTCTCCTGCCTCTCAAGGACAAACGGAGAACAAGGATTCTTCCAGACGCTGCCACCTCCCCCAGCCCTCCCCTGGCCCAAACACCACACACAGACAGCAGACTCCCCCTTAAATAGTTGTTTATTGGCAGTGGGCTGGAAAGAGCAATGGAGTTAGCATATACAGACAACACCACACACCAATGTCACGTGGGAGGCAAAGTGATGGGAAAGAGCAGCCTGGAGCCCTGCTGAGGCCCCCCTCTTCAAGAGTGAGGGTGGAGGGGGCAGGGGCTGGAGTGTTGAGGGGGTAGCCTTAGGACACCTCCGCTTAGTAGGCATGGTTAGAGATGAAGAGGGACTCGCTGGCTGCAGCCCCGGCCTGACCACTTGGGGTGTACTTTCCTTGGCAGGCAAGGCTGTTGGCCTAAGAGGGGAGAGGAGCCAGAGTGAGGTCTCATCAGAATTCCACCTGCCCTGGTACCCTGCCCACCTCCATCCAGTCCCATCCTTACCAGGGCTCGCTTGATGTACTCCTCCTGGGCAGCCTTCAGGTTCTCCTTCTTCCCACCCCAGGCCTTCAGGGCAGAAGCCTGGAGCGCTCGGCCATAGGAGAAGGTCAGGGCCCACGGCTTCAGCAGGGGGCACTTGTTGATGGCATTGAGGTTGATGGATGCCTCCTCCTCACTCTGGCCTCCAGACAGGAAGGTGATCCCTACCGAGCAAGGAGTAAAGTGCAGTAAGTGGCTGTACGCAAAAACCTGGGGTTTGGTAGAAGTTTCTAGAATCTGACCCAATGGGCGTAAGGACGGTGGCTGAAGTTCATCTACCTCCCACAGGTCAAGAGGAGGGTATGGGGGTCGCCTGGGTGGTTCAGTGGGTTAAAGCCTCTGCCTTCGGCTCAGGTCATGATCCCGAGGTCCTGAGATAGAGCCCCGCGTCGGGCTTTCTGCTCTGCAGGGAGCCTGCTTCCTCCTCTCTCTCTCTCTCTGCCTGCCTCTCTGCCTACTTGTGATCTCTATCTGTCAAATAAATAAATAAAATCTTAAAAAAAAAAAAAAAAAAAAGAGGAGGAGGATATGGGTCTCACCAGTGACAGCAGGGGGCACTGTGCGGCGCAGTGCTGTGACAGTTGCCATGGCAATCTCCTCATGAGAGTATTTCTGGGTGCAGGCATGGCCTGGGGTTACCATGTTGGGCTTCAGCAGAGTGCCTTCCAGGTAGATGTGGTGGTCACTCAGAGCCTTGTACACGGCAGCCAGCACCTAGAGCAGAGCAGGGCCACAGTGGAATTGAGGTGGAGTTGGGGGCGGGGTGGGGACAGAGGTTGGCCCCAAGGCCTTCGGCCCAGCTGCCTAGCCACCACACCACCCACACAGGCAGGCACCTTACCTTCTCGGTTACATACTGACAGCGTTTCAAGTCGTGGTCCCCATCTGGGAGGATCTCAGGCTCCACGATGGGCACGATGCCATTCTGTGGAAGACAGGGGAGCCATGAGTCCCCCTAACCCAGAGCCCACCTACAGCTCTCCGCAGCCATCAGCCAAGACCTTTTGTCCATGACAACAGAAACTCATGGCTTCACAGCCTGCAGCGAACCTCAGGAGACAGGGATCTCCTCCGAGCCACCCCCACAATCATACCCCACCCGCCGCCCCGGCTCACAGAGCCCTCAGGTGTCCTCCATGGGCCCAAGCCTGACGCTTGCTGAGGCTCCAGAACAGCTGCCTTGGATGCAGGTGTGGTATGTATCCTGACAGATGAGCAGCAGGCTAGCTGACGTTCTGGAACCAAAGGCCGTGGGAGGTGGCCTGCTGGGGACCCACCAACCCACCTGCTGGCAGATGCTGGCGTAACGGGCCAGAACATTGGCATTTTCCATGATGGCAAGGGCTGAGGGGGTGTGCTCCCCAATCTTCAGCACACAGCGCCACTTGGCAAAGTCAGCTCCGTCCTTCTTGTACTGGGCACAGCGCTCAGATAGCCCATCCAGCCCTGGAGGGGAACAGAAGAGTCAGAGCGTGGCAGAGGAGGGGGCAGGTGGCACCCAGAGGGATCAGGCCTGGAATGGGTTGGTCTGGAGGGCAGGGAGCGAAGCAGTTCTCACCTTGGGTGGTAGTCTCGCCGTTTGTTCCTGCCAGAGGTACTACGCCCTTGTCCACCTGTTGGGGTTGGGGGGAGTGGGCAACAATGGGAGATGCGGGAAGTGCCCTCTAGCACTCCACTCTGCCCTCCACCTTTCTCAACCTCTTGAGTGATAGGTACCTCGCTTTGCAAACGTTTTCACGTAGTCACAATACTTGGATTCCAGAAGGTAGAAAATACATGGGGATGTGATCAGAGCGAGCCTGGGCTCCTAGCCATTACTAACCTGGTGAACCACATGCATCACCCTTGAGTTTCTGGTTTTTGTCTGTACGACGAAAGAATACGGGGCTCTGAGTATTACAAGGATTAAAAATGCCAAGCAGGCGCACATATCTGGTTCGGTCAGTGGAGCCTGTGTCTTCTGATCTCAGGGTTGGCTGCGAGTTTGAGCCCCACAAAGGGTGTAGGGCTTACTTAAAAAAAAAAAGCTAAGCAGGTCCTCTAAGTTTCTAGCTCTTCTCACCCGCCCCCTCACCTTGATGCCCACAACACCGCCCTTGGATTTGATAACTTGGGGGAAGGGACGCCCATCATCTGTCTTCTGGTACAGTGTCTCGTGGAAGAGGATGACGCCCCCAATGCAGGGGTTCACGCGGTCATCAGCGGTCAGCAGCAACTGGCGGTAGAAGCGGCGGTTCTCCTCTGTGTTCTCAGTGCCGATGGACTGCAGCCGCTTGGCGATGCTCCCTGCAAAGGGGCAGCACGCGGAAATAAGGGGATCAGCCGGTCATCCTCGACCCTAGGCACTCCTCCTCCTGTGTCCTGCCCATACCAGTGGACTCATCTGCAGCCAGAATCCCCTTGCCCGGAGCCACGATGCGATGAGCGATGTCAGAAAGCTCCTTCTTCTGCTCCGGGGTCAGCGCTGGGTATTGGTAAGGCATGGTGCCAGTCGGTTCCTGGGCAGAGGCAGCGGACAGAGGGGACCGGTTAGCTGGGTCTCACATGGTCTCCCGACTAGCAGGACCCCGCTCCTGGAAGTCGAGACAAAGGTTCCCTACCTCCCCTGCTCCACACCGGCAGGTTTCTGGCCACTTCCTGTCCCCAGCCCTCCCCTGAACCCAACTTCCCTATACTAGGCCTGCCTCCGGTACCTTTCCTAACTCTGTTTGTTGCTGGGTGTTTCCCAGCTGTGGGTGGGGTTGCATACTGGCATCTGGGGCAATGCAATAGGCCAGAGCCATAGACAGACGGGTCATGTAGAAGCCGGACCCTTCTTGCATGCGCTCTGCCATAGGGTCACCTTGCCTAGAAGCAGAACCGAACCGGAGTATTTTAGAATTTAGAGAGAGCACACAGGCAGAGGGCCCAACCCAAGGGCCCAGAAAAGGGAAAGTTCGGTGCTTCAAGTCCCACAGCACAAGGGTCAAAGCTAAGATTTAGAACCCAGATCCTCTGTCCGGGCCTTCCAATCCACCCGTGATCCCAGGGCTGGCCCAGGCTCCAAAGCCTCAAGGACATCCCAAGGTCAAGCTCCCCACCCCCCCGGGTTGGGGGAGAGTGTTAAAGAGTGTTAAAAGAAAGGGCAGAAGAATAATCAGAAGCCAAGGGAAGGGCAGCAGAGGAAGCCCAGCCCAGGGTCGCGCTAGGAATAAGGTTTGTCCATCTCACTGCTCATACAGGTTGAAAAAATTGTAGACAGGCAAGCAGCCCACCCCTTCCCCAGAAAATGCTCCAGTCTGCTCGCACGGCCGCAGGGCTCCAGGCTCACAATCAAGGTCACCCAATAAGGAAAGACACGGAAAGTGTTAACGGGGCGTCAGGCACCTCCATGGGGTTTCCCCCATCGTCGGGGGCGCCCACCTCCCAGCGCAGGGCCCAACCACGCTCTCCGGAACCCTCAGGCAATATAGGAGCTGGCCCCCGCCCCTCGCTGCCTCTTAGGACCCCCGCAGAGGCGAAGGAGCCATAATGCTTTGCACCTGGGGTCCGAGCACGAGAAGGAGAGAGAGAATGGCCCTCCATCTCGTCCGGCTTCCTCCCCCCGCCATGACTCAGCGCGCGGAGCCACTGCATTGCGCAGCAAACCGAGAGCGCTCATGCTGGAGAAGGTTGCGGAGTCCGGGCCAGGAGCCTACGTGTAGGTGGTAGTGGGAAGGGCGAGATGCTGGGCCCGAGCTGTGGTGGGTAGATGGGGTCAGGCTGCCGACTGCCCCCAGAATCCTTCTCCACGGTCCCTGACCTTCGCACACGGCGAGGGGCGCTCACCTGGCACGGGAGGGGGCGGATCTGCGGGATGCGACGGTGGAGGGCGGCGCGCGGGCGAGCAGACTAACGGAGGGAACGCGACCGCCGTCAACAGGACTCTGGTTCTTCGGCGCGTTCCAAGAGGAACGCAGCCTATTCAGCTGCCGAGGGGGCGGCGCAGAGGGCGGGCAGGAGGGAGGTGGCGCCGGGCTTTATAAAGGCACCGCGCTAGCGTCCGCCGGTTATTCTCCCCTGAAGGGGGCCGGAGGCGCCCTGGCGTCCAATTGCAGGCGAGGAACTGTGCAGAGGCCGCCTCCGAAAGGCGAAGCCCGGAGGCGGCGCTTGGGCGGGGACTGCACGGCGAGAACACGATCCCTCCCCCCCCCGCCCCCCTAGGACGTGACTCGGGCCACATCCTGCGGGTTGCCTAGGCCCTTCCGTCCCTCTCTCTCCCCCCCCCCTCCCTCCCTCCCCCCCAGTTGGCGCGTTCTGGGGCACCGTGACTCAGCCGATTTGGGGCACCGGAGAAGATGGGGAGTGGGGGAAGCGGGTGAAAGAGCCTGGAAAGACGGAGGCTCAGCCTCCCCGCCCCAGGCCCAGCCGGGTGGCGCGGGGCAGCCCCCGCTTCCGGCCTGCGCTGATGGCCCCGTGTGTCACACCTGGGCGGGCCCAGAGGTCGGGCGTCGGCCGGCCTCGCCCGCAGGCTGCCCTTGCGGGCTCAGCGGCTCGGGGCCGCCCCTCCCAGGGTCACCAGTCCGGGCCGAAGAGCGGCTGCTCTCGTACTCCTCCGGGAGTACGAGAGGGCGGCGGGGCCGTGGTTCCCGGTGGCCCGCCCGTGCGGGTGTCGGCGCCGCGGCCGCGCCCGTCAGGCCAGCCTCGCCACGCGTGCGCAGGCGCTCCCCGCTCGTGGCCGGCACCGACCGGCCTGCGGCAGCCACCGCTCGCCCCAGCAAGTCTGGGGATGCGGCGCCAGAGTGCCTGCGAAGACGTCTCCCTGGAATCTGACTTCCCCGTCCAAATCAAATCTGTCCCTAGCTGGTTAGTCCCCGATGCATTTTGAACCCCCTCATCCTATCGGCCAGGTTTCCCCTCCTAAACCGGACCCATTAAGCCCGACCCCGACCCCATCCCTGCTGTGTCCCGCCACCGGCGCCCACCTGCGAGGAGGTAGAAGGAGCGGGCAGAGCCTGGTCAGCAGCGAGTGAGCCAGGCCGCTCCTGGGCTGGGTTATAAGGCAGCTCCTGCCCTCCCCCCAGCCCATGTCCCCAACCTCCTCCGGTGACCTCTGCCCTTTCCTTGCCACGGATCCCCTGGCAGGGACCTATATTTAGGGAAACCTGAAGCCCCTGACATTCATGCCAGCGTGGGGCCTACAGTGAGGAAAGGAAGCCCTGGGGCTGCCCTAGTTGGGGGGCAGGGGTGGGCCCTGCCCACTCACCAGTACCTTAGAGGAAATTTTCTTGGAAATCCAGCCTGAAGCCCTCAGAGGTGGTCAAGAGAAATCGATCTCTGCACAGGGATCTGTCGGGAAGAAGAGGAAAGGAGACTGGGATCTGTGACCCTCCCGGCCTCCTTCTCTATCCTCCCTCCCCTCTGGGCCCTGAAGGAGGCTTTTCTGATTCTGGGGAGACCATTCCTTTGGCAGGAGAGCAGATGCAGGCACAACACTCACCTCAAGATAACCAAGAATCCACAGCCAAGGTGTGGCTGGGGCAGCCCTATATCCTCATACTCCAGGTTCAAGTTTGTCCCATAGATGGTCTGTGGTAAGCAGTGTCTCCCACCCTCACCTTCAATGATAACAGTTTACATGGAGAGGAGGATAGGCAGGTGGGGTCCCCTGCCAGAGTGCTAGCCCCTCTCCCTCCTGGCCCTCCAAAGGACAGTCCAAATGGCCAGGGGCTCTCTGAGTCCTGCTCTGCTGGGAGCCAGGCTCTGCACAGCCCAATGAGCTGGGCAGGCCATATGTGGTTCCAGGGGCCTGGAGAAAGGTGCCTGGAGGCCCCGTCAGGGAACAGGGCGTGGGGGCCCCGGGGGTTGGCCACTCTCCAAGGGGCAAAGACTCCGGGTCCTCATCGGAGCTTGATCTCAAAGCACAGACAGTTGAGGCTCTGGCAGTCAGGCAGCTGGCACGCGCAGGCACAGTCGCAGAGCGGACAGCAGCGAGGACAGTGAGGGGCCCAACCCTGAGGGAGAGGAGAGAGGGGTGAGGGAGGTGGGCAGGGAGAAGGGCAACCAGTCCCCTAAGCTGTTTCCCTCCCCAGGGAGAAAGGAACAGAGCGGCCTGGGAAGCCGCATTTGCCGGGTGGAACAGAGGGTACCACCTACTCTTCTTGGGAACAAATCAGTTCCCTGCGCTGTTGAGAAATGAACAGGGAGGCAGTGTTCCAAACTGAGTCCAGGAGCTGGAAGAAATTATTCGGGGGAGGGTTCTTTCCTTCTTCCCCTTTTATAGGCAAGGAGACTGAGAAATCAAGTAATCCTGTTCCATGAAGTACTGACATTCAGCTCAAAGTTGGTTCTACTATATCCTTGGGGCCTCACTCAGTTCCAAGGGAGGAGATGAGGGAGAGCACACACACATTTTCCTTCCATGACAAAAAGAACCAGGTTCTGTTTTCTTCCTTGGTGGGAGACCAAACTGCAGGACCCCGCCCATTATTTCTGAGCGTCTGCTCCCTGCAAGGCACAGACTGTAATCATGAATGATTCTGAAAAGTCTCAGTTGTCTTTGAAAATGGTAACTGGCAGATTTTTTAAAAAATGTTTCCAAGAGCCACAACTCTTTTATTTATCAGAACCTTGCATGCAGGCCTCTTTACAGAAGAGGGAGTGGAGGCTCGGAGAGGGAGATCCCCCTTGACCCCACTGCCTCCCAGGCCCAGAACTATCAGCTTCTGCAGGGACAGGGGACAGTTGGTCTCCTGTCCCCATTGAGCAAGCACGAGGACTTGCCCTCTGCAGGTATGTGAGGCACAAGTGAATGCTCAATGAATGGACCAATCAAAGCGTTTTCCCCTCTTTGGGAAAAGAGAGAACTCCTCAGCTCCCAGGGGAAAAAGAAGGGTCTATCTCTTAGGGAATAGGACTGCATGCCCTTCATGACAAGAAGAGAGAACCGGTCTATTTCAACCTACTCCTCTCCTGCCCAGCGACAGGGGTGATCTGCCACTGCTTCACGCATGGACTGGAGCCCGGCCAAGTGGCTGGAGTGGGACACACCCAGGATGTGCCAGGAGATTGGCTCGTTGAGGCCTGAGGCCCAGCTAGCTGACAGCCACAGTTGCACGGCTCAATCAGATGCCAGGCCAAGCCAGGAATAGGGGAATGACCTTTGCAACAAGCTGAGGTTTGGGGGTGCGGTGTCAGATGACTGGGGAGATCAGATATCACTAGGGGCTCCAGTGAGGGAAGGGGATCTGCTGGCGGTAGGGACAGGGGTCTGAACTGGGCTGGCGTGGCCGTCAGAAGGATTGTCTCACAGGAGGAGACTGGAAGCCCCATGGCAGAAGGGGGAGTGCAGCGGTTTCCTTGTATCTGATGAGGGGGTGGTTTGGGGCATCCCTGGGGAGTCCCAGTTTGGGAAGAAGTGGGCTCTGTGGGTTTGGGGGGGCCCACACCGTCATTCCGTGTGCGGCACTGTGTGCTCTGCCGCCCTCACCTCGGAGAAAGGGTATTAAAAGCGTTTCTGGGCTCTGTCCACTGGAAGGGTTTAGAGCGAGTCATTAATAACTGTCTAATGGATTTCTCGACTCTCACAAGCAGCCATGTGGCTTCTGGAAGGAATCTGCTACTTCAGTACATAAACAAGAATGCCACAAGCCTGTTAACCCTTGTGTGCCTCTTGAGACACTACAGCTTCGGCTTCGATTCCCTTTCCCCAGATTTTTGCGACGCTGTGGTGTCCAGAGCTCAGGCCTGGATTTGAACCAAATGCACGCCCACCTTGGGCCTGCTCATATTTTGAGCCTCCGTTTGGTCATCTCTGCAACAAGTAAGAATGCCTGCTTCAGAGGCTCACGGTGGGAAATCAGTGGAAGGAACTAAGCTCGGTGCCTAGTGCATACTGAGCACTCGAGAAAAGGCAGGGATTCTCGCCACAGCTCTCTGTTGCCTCCTTGCCCCAGCCAGACCTCCTGGGTGGGGGGCCCAGAGGCCTGGCTTTGTGTCTGTCTCCTCCACATCTCTGATCACACACAGGGCTGAAAACCAGCTATTGCACTATATATCACCTCATTTCTCCTGCTCCAGTGTAACTGCCCACTTCTTCCTCTCTGTCTTTTGCTGCAATGGAAGCCCTATGTGGGTTGGGGCCAGGTCCAGCTTGTTTTGCAGAGCCCCTAGGGCCTGGCACAGGGCCCTGGCGATGACTGCATAGATCCTTAAGTAGGTAAAGGAGTGGGTGAATGAGCGCAGATCTCTGCCACTTGCTTGGTGAAAACAGCAGGGCAGGCAGGTGTCTCCCCCAGAGAGGAAGAGAAACTCGGGTTTGCAGCCTAGCCTGGGCCTCAGGTAAGTCACTCCAGCCCCTGGAAGCCCGTTTCTAACAGCTGTCAAGTAGGCAAGAGCCTTGTCCTATTTGTAGCTGTTACTGTTACTATAAGGAAACTGAAGAACAGACATTTTACTGTACTTTGTGCAAAGCCAGCTCAAAGACGATCCTGCCTTGCCCTGTGGCCATTCTAGAATCCTTCCTTCCTGGTGCTAGCAGAAGCCGGGTAGATCAGGTCCTAGAGTGTGCAGGTCTGGAATTCCCTGCACCTTATTCCTTCGTCACCCTGCCTGAGAAGAGGCCCGGACTGACAAGAGGGGGCAAGGGACAGCATACCCTGGACAAGGGGCCATACATTGTTTTGTAATTGAGCATTTCCTATAAAATAGGGAGTTTTTAGGACCCAGGGTTATCTTCTCTTCCCCCTCTGTCCCCTTATCCTCATCCTAGGCTCCCTTTCCAAGCCACCCCAGGAAAACAGAAGAAAACTTTTTTTTTTTTTTTTTTAAAGAGAAGAGCCTCTGGCCCTGTAATTTCCTTCAAAACTCAAAACATCTCCTAGGAATTTGACCAACTACAGTGAGCTCAAGTTATGAATTCGCTTGATCTTTTATGCTCCCTCTTTCCTCCTGGGCAAGGTCACCAGTTCAAGGGCAAGAGCGTTGCTGCCTAAATCAGAGCCTAAAATAGGAAGGTGGTCGATTCCATTTACCGTCTTTCAACCCACAAAAACGAAAATGGCCTGTCCTGCGGGAGCCAGGCTTCTCCCCGAGGATTGAGGATTCTATTTTGACACACAATGGAGCAATTTGCTGTGCTAGCCTCTACTATGTAACATTGTAGAAATGACCCAACCTCCCACAGCCAACTCCTCCCCACCCCGCAAAAAGAGGACAGAAATACTTACCTGTCTACATACACAGGCACAGGATGGTTGGCGGCGGGCAGTGGGGGGGCGGGGGCGGGTGTCAAGGTGTGATGTCAGGTCAAAAAGGGCAAGTAGCAGAAGGGACGAAAGAGTATCTGTCGCAGGACCCCATCTTTGCCAAATACTGGCAGGTAACAGAGCAGTGACAGCTGTCTCTTAGTATACAAGGGGCATACACAAAATGTAGCGGCCTTGGTTAGCGAGCTGTTTTCTAAGCTGGTGCTTTCTATGTATTTCTACATGCACACTTTGTAATCAATGCTTTTCATACTCAGAACTATACATATCCAGGTTTTAAAAAATACCGAGCTCTCAGGGTTGTTGAGTAAATTATATGATGTCAATAAAGTAGCATGGGATCTGGGGCATCGTACTCACTCAGTGAACAGGAGGAGCTCTGGGCTGGGCTGATTTTTCTTTTAACGACCATTTTCAGAACCCAGTATGCCCTTCAGGTTACACTCCTGCCCCCAGCTGCCACCCTTGTTTTCTTTTCTCCAAGTAGCTTTTGGCACCAGAAAGTATGTAATATGCTGCCGTTTGAGGTGTCTTTGGCTGTCTCCCCACTGACCCAGTCCCCAGAACTGAGCCCAGCCCAAAGTAAATGCCCAGCAATCCATGTTTGTTGAACACCACCAACAAAAGAAGGCCCAGAGAGGGCCCAGGTCAGGGCTGGGATGAGAACTCACAGCTTCCGTGGGCTGGGGGCAGCAGGCATCCAGGCAGTGGGCTGGGCTGGGCAGAGGGAAGTCGCAGGCTTCTGCACAGGTCCAGCAATAGTCCTGGGGCCTAGAGGCCCCTTGCTTCCTGCAGGGGGAGCTGCAGTCGGCACAGCAGCCCTGGGCCTAAGTAGGAGATGGAAGGTTAGGATCTGAGCCAGATGGTGGGAGGACGTGGGGGGTGGGGAGACACAACTGCTAGGGACAGATGCAGGGACTAAATAGCAAAGGAGCCTCAGGGTAAAGGCCTGAAGATGAGGGCACTGACGGACCATTTCCTCTTCCCCGGAGCCCACCCCTTGGCCTCTACCAGGCCCCTCACCAGCAGGCAGTGCCTAGTCAGCAGCACGACGCCGAGCAGCAACAAATAGATACCCACAGCGATGAACACGATGGCAGGGATGGGGAGGAGCAGGGAAGGACTGCTGACGGGAGCCGGGGCTGGATTCCACGGGCTAGAGGAGGCCTGGACAAGCACAGGAGGAAGAAGTGACAAGGTGGTGGGAGGGGCTGTGGGGAACACAAAAACACCGGGAGGGACAACCCAACCAACCCAACCAGAGGTGGTTGGGATGAGGGAAGGGACAGCCACTGGATGGCTGGGATTAATTCATTAGGACTACACTCTCCTGTTTCCCAAATGCGACTTTTCCCTCCCATCCCCATCTCAGGACCATCAGTATCTGTTGGTCTTTCGAGAATTTTCCAAGACTTGTTGATCTTGCTCTCAAAATGCCTCTCCATATGTATCTATTATCTGATTCCTCGGCTCTAGTGTGCCACCCCTCATGCGACGTTACTGTTCCCTAAGTGTCTTCCGACTTGCAATCTTGCCCCTTTCCACACTAGCTGTGTTGTGTATCCCTCCCTTACTCACAATCCATCAATGGCTCCCACTGACTCAGTCCAAACTTATCTCAGTGACTAAGCCCTAATCCAGCCCTGCCTATCTCCCCCTCTATACTCCAGCCAAACTGAAGTCCTAGCAGCTCCCCAAACGTCTAATGCTCCCTCCCACCCCCGAGTCTCTGCCCAAGCTGTTCCCTCAGCCCGTGATGCCTTTCCTCCTTGATTAGTAGGCAAGCTTCTCATCTTGCCAGGAAGAGCGGAAATGTGCTCTCCACGTGAGGTCTATCTATTCCGGGCATGCTCTCACATCTCCGGTCCTGAGCTCGAAGGGTCTCTGTTGGGTAAACAGTCCCCTCTCCAGTCTGGGCTGGGGCTCGAAGTCGACCTTAAGGTCCTGAGGGGGCCGCTGCAAAAAAGGGTGAGGGGCCCGGGACTCACGTCCATGGGTCAGGACAGCGCCGTCAGTCCAGGACCTGCAAGGAGAGAAAGTCCGGGTCTCTGAGGCTGAGAGGGGCCATCGGACTGGGGGTGCCCACTACCCAGCCCCCCAACTCCCACTTGGAGAAACTGAGGCCGAACATCGTCCTGGTCCAGACAGTGGGGATCAGGGGCCCGGGGAGGCGTCCCCTCGCAGGCCCCAAGCTGACCCTGGCCACACCCCCGGCCGTCCCCACACCCTGGCTCCCTCCAGGGACCGGTCCCCAGCACCTGCACCCTCGGGGCCGGGGGCAGTTCGCGAATTCCGCGCCGCGCTCGTCCAATGGGCCGCGGCGGTTGCACCGCCCAGAAGCTCCCGCGGCTTCTGGCCGTTGCCATGGCGACCCGAGCGCTGCTCCTACGGCGGCCGCCGAGACCCAAATTCCTTCTCGCCGCCGCCCGTCGCTCTTCCCCCGCAAGATCCTGGGCGGCCACCGCCCCTCTTAGTTGCGGTCGGTCGGGTTTTCCCGCCGCTACTGCACGGAAAAGGCGATTTCCCTCTGTCAGCTGCCCGGGTCGAGCCCTCATCCGGTGCTGGGTCCTGCGGCGCCGCAAAGGGAAGACCGAGCCCTGGGCTACACACCAACGGGCTGCGTGACTTTGACGCAGTCACTGAACCTCGTGGAATCCATTTCCGCCCCTGTAAAACTCCTGCCTTACGGGGATGTTGTAAAAAAGCTAACTTGTCAATCGTAGAGCATTCTACTTTTTTTTTCGTCAACTTTACCCCACTCAGTTTTTATTGGCAGTGCTCCAGTTTAAGACTTGGGCGGGTCTCCTCAACCTTCAGGTCCCAGGCAAAGGGATTCCCCCCCCCCTCCGCCCACCTCAGATTCCGCGTCTTTTCTATTTTAAACCTCCAAAGGACAAAGTCCAAATGCTTAGCGGATTGCCAACCTCAACCAGTCTGGGCCCCTCCTATCTTCCCTTTGTTCATTAACCGCCTATCTCCTCTAGGCTCTGGGCCTCCTGCGGAGAATAAGGCAAATTTCCTGCCCACATGTTGCGCACATTCCCCTGGGGGAGGAGGATCTGGTGATCTGTAAACAAGTCAGACTTTTCTGTGTTCCACATTCTTCCAATCTTCTTTGATAGGATCTGGGCGAGGCTCCTGAGCCAGTGCAAAGGTTTCCAGAGCTCCACGCATTTGCAGATACTGTTCCCTCTGCTAGAACAACACCCTTCCCCTGTTTTCCCCTGAGGAACTTCCTCATCCTTCAAGCCTCTGTGGGATTTTGCCTCAGGGAGGTCTCCCCGACTACTGCCAACCACGGGCAGAAGTGGCTGCTTTGGGCACCTGATTAATCTACAAGCTTATTCCAGCCCTGATGACAAGGTTTTTGAATTCTCCCCTTTGGTTCCTGGCTCCCCGTTAGACGGTTAGATGGCAGGTGCCTGGATCTGATTCATTCCGGTATCCCAAGCCCTGGCAGTTGGTAGGATCTTGGGGGCCTCCAGCAAGTACTCAACTGATTCCATGAATGAATCAAATCTGGTGCCATCCACCAAGAAAAGGTTATTACTGAGATGCCCTAGTTCTCCCCTGGCTCACAAACCACCTGGACTCCCGACTTGCATTCCTGCCCTTTTGGGATCTACACATACATGATTGCACTCTGTATGCTCACGTAAGCACACAGAGGACTCAGGCTTCATCCACAATTCCTGCATCCGGGCATGTCCCCTGAAAACAGTGATGTAGGGAAAAAAACGTTAGGGTTCCAAGCCTATGGCCAAGAAAGAATTCTTGAGGCATCTTTAGTGCAAAAAAGTGATTTTATTCAAGTACGGGGCAGGACCTGTGGGCAGAAAGAACTGCACTGGTGTCATGAGGAGTAGCCCATTGTATACTTTCAAGTTGGGAGGGGGTCTGGGATAGCTTAAGTCTCTAAGGAATTTTGGAAGCAAGGTTTCCAGGACCTTGAGGGAGCCAGCTGTTGTTGGGAAAAGGTCATTTATTCCATCTAATAAAACCTTAGGCATGAGACCCTTCAGCTGTATATCCATGGGCGATATGCTTGGAGGATGATTGCCAACATGCATCTTGGGGGACTCAGAGATAAAGGAAGTTTCCCAAAGAATTTTTGAATGTTAAAGTAGGCTTACAGGATCCCAGAAGGTGGGAGGTGGGCTAGGATTGCCTTTTGCCCTCGAGACAGTTGAGTCCCGAGAGGAATGTCACTCTGCCTATTTCAAGGACTTGTCCACAGGTTGTAGGAAATTTAATAATTTTTCTTCCGCCTTTGTTTCCCACATCAGCAATAACACCATATACCCACCTTTGTCCATGGCCTCTACCCATTACGTACCTCCTCTCTGCTGCTCTCCCTGGGGATTTCCGGCACCACGAGGCAACCCCAGAAATTGCCAGGGTTTGTGCCAAATCTCTCTTCTCACCTTCAGCCACACTAGCAGAGTCCCACCCACCATCGCTCCACCACCCCCAGCCCTCTCAGAGGGAGCTTCCAACCAGGAGACCGGAGGCTAACTGTCCTCAGTGTCACCACCGTTGCCTCTAGAGTCAGATTGTCTTCTTGGGGCCGTCTTCTTGTCTGCCCTGTATTCTTTGCAGAATCCTGAGGCCCAAGACGAGGCCAGTTCCCACCCCAGTCCCAGGAAAGGCCTCAGGTGACACAGACTCCCTCCCTCTGTGCTGTTCCTGCCAACAGAGAGACGTCAGCCTTGGCAAGGATCTGGACACGTCCACGGCCTGCAGTGGTCAGACACACTGCTGATGGTACTCTGTTCCTACCACGGCTCATACATTATGTAGGATGGTGGACAGCACACCGGGCCTCCTCTGGGCGAAACAAACCAATAGGACGGGTGACGTACACACCCACTTTGCCAAAGCCACTTCTGCCCACATCACACCATTTGCTGGAGGCAGGGAGAAACTGACTTCATGACAGCTGCACAACCACAAGGTCTCCCTCTCCCTCCGGTTAAAGCTTGAGATGTCAGATAGGACCATGTGACGTTTTGCACAGCCCCCAGGAAGGAGAGAAAAAGATGATGGACTCTCAGTCCTTATGGGGCGGGCGGGACATCTGAGACCCACGAACACCCAGGAGGTGAGAGACACCCAGCCAGGCCTGCCCGCAGGCATGGGAATGGAACACGGCTGCTCCGATTATTTGATTTTAGACTTTCCACCCATCCTGTGGACATCAGACGATATTGCCTCCCAGAGACTAAGAGGAGGTTATCAGCATCCTTTTAGGAAAATGAAAGGCATGTGCTCAGGTAGTCACTCCCAGGGAATAAGAAGTCAGGGTGACTAGAGCTAGAGTAAGCATCCATCAAGCCCTTCTCCCAGACTTTATCTTATTTAATCCTAACAGCAGACCTGAGTGGCATGAACCATTATTTCCATCTTACTTTAATTTAATTTTATTTTTTTTAAGATTTTTATTTATTTATTTATTTATTTATTTATTTGACAGACAGAGAACACAAGTAGGCAGAGAGGCAGGCAGAGAGAGAGGAGGAAGCAGGCTCCCTGCAGAGCAGAGAGCCCGATGAGGGACTCGATCCCAGGACCCTGGGATCATGACCTGAGCCGAGGGCAGAGGCTTTAATCCACTGAGGCACCCAGGCGCCCCTTTTTTCTTTTTTTATTAGAGATTTTTATTTATTTTATTTTATTTTAATTTTTAAAAAGTTTTATTTATTTATTTGAGAGAGAGAGAGCAGGGGGTGGGGGATAGGGAGAGGGAGAAGGAGACTCCCCACTGAGCAGGGAGGCCCGATGCGGGGCTCCATCCCAGAACCCTGAGATCATGACCAGAGCCGAAGGCAGACAATTTACAAGGGCCCACATAGGAACTGTGCTTTACATACATCTCATTCACTCATCCTAGCAGCCCGAGGGAGAGAGGAGACTGCTCCTGTCCCTATCCTTACTTTAAGAAGCAATAAATCACTTGCTTGAGTTCTCCTCATGCAAAGCTAGAATTTGAGCCCAGGCAACAGAACTTGGTGTGTATACAACTGAGGCTCAGAGAGGTTCTGACACTTGACCAAGATCACACTGCCAGTCTATGGGAGACAAAAGGGCCTGGCCAGACTCTTCCTTTTCTCATTCCACTCACATTTGGGGCCCCTCTGCTTTTTCTACCACACAGGTAAAGGGTGGGATTGGACTCGCTTAGAACAGTGCCTAACCTGCGACAGGTACAATAAAAGTACTAAATAATAAATGCTCTGGCACACTGGGTGCGACTCTCCCCAGAGCGCGGGTAGGGGGAATTGGACCTTTCCCTGGGTATCATGTGGGAAACAGGCCACTTCTGGCTGCTTATTGTTTACTTATTCACGGCCTTCGGTGATACCACACCTGCACGCCCGCCTCCCAGGGCCAAGGCTCCGAGCACCCAGGTGGAGAGGATGCCCAAGACAGCATTTGGACATAGGAGTCTGGAGTAGCAGGAACCGGTAAACTCCACCACCCCCGACCCCCGGCGTGAATTGTGTGACAGGTGTATTAGGACGGCGTGGGGGTGAGAGACTCCTCTGGGGAGCCAGGCTGGGGCGGGAAAACAGCCAGAGTCCCTGGACGGGCACTTGGGGGCGGGCCACCCACACGGCCCCTCTCCTTGCGCACGGTCCCAAGGGCTGCTCTCCCCTCCCCCGCTCCGCCCCCCAGAACGGGCGCGGCCTCCCCTCCTCCTCCAGGGAGTTCAGGCACCCCTAGAACGTCCTGACAAGGGATCAGGGTGCGTGGAACGCGTCCGATCTGGGGTTTATTTTACACTCTACATCCATCTGCAGGACAGCGTGTACGCGCGTGTGCGCGCGCAAGCTATTCTCTTCCAATTCCTCTTCAACACTTCTGATTATTCCAGGAGCATGTCTCATTTTGCTGCCAGAAGCCCTTTAACACCTCTCTATCCGTGCTTATCTTGCCCTGTCTTGTCTTTAACAAAATAGAGTGCAGGCCTCCAGCTCAGAATTCCTAGCAGGTGAAAGTATCTAGCTAGAAGGTTAGAACACTTTTTTTTTTTTTCATTGTATTAATTTTTTTGTTACCTTCTATTTATGCAAGTGATACTGGTATTCTATTTTTGGTAGTGATAAAGAGTTTCCTTTTCAAGTGTGTGGTTACTCTGCCAATCAGGCTAGGAGGTTCAAATCCTAGCTATGTCACTTAACTGCCTGTGTGACCTTGAGCAAATCCCGCAACCTCTCTGTGCCTTGATTTTCTCTCTGTAAACGGAAAGTAATAATCTTTAGGTTATTAGGTTATTTAGGTTATGTAATCTTTAGTATCTCCTCCTTAGGTTATTGTGACGACCCCATTAGCTAGTTTATG